CATCATCATCATCATCAATATCATCATCAACATCACCAATGTCATTATCACTATCAATTATAAAACCTAATATTTTTTCTCACAACATTTATGGTTTTAAGGCGACGTATTATTTTTATTGGTAAATGGTTATACGTGCATGCATAAATTAACAATGGTGCATGCGATGCGTATAGTTAATTCTGGATGCACGCAGGAGGCACCCTAAGCACGAAAGAAGCGTAAGAGTTGCACGAGGCGTTGCCGCGCTTCTTCAGATGAATAAAAAGTTTTATTTGGAATGATATGCGCTTTAGGCCCCGTCCAGACGTGTCCGAAAATATTTTTGTAATCGTATCCGCAAATTTTCGAATACGCTGACGTCAAACGCGATTTTGCGCATGCTCAATAAGAAAAACTATCCGTCAGAGGGAATAGGCACTAGCGTACATCGGGGCGGATCAAAAAATTTCCGGATACGTGTGGACAGTGAAAACGATTCGAATACGCAGCGTGTGGACGCGAACATTTTCGTATCCGAAAAAAAAAATTTTTTTACTTAATTTTTATTGCAAGTCACGGGCCTATATTTCTCAAAATTCCATCGGAATCGGTATTTGTTTTGTTTTTTTGATATTTTTTGAACATCTCCTTYATTAACACATAAGATGACTGCGAGCGCCTCCGCGCGAGTCCACAGAAATCCTAAAAAGCTCGTCGCCTTTACTGATTGAGTCTGGAGGGAAAAGTGGGACTGCCCGCAGTCTACATACCATATCACAATCACCAAGAGAGCATAAATAAGAGAGGGAAACTTCTTAATAACGAGCACGCCATTTAAATTCCCGGTCAGGCTATTCTTAGTAACCTGATGCAGTTTAAATATCGCCTTACCCTACTCCTGTGCGTCATTAACTCTTTCCGTTTCGTTTTTAATGATCAAAACCACCACAGTGATTAGCCTCTTGGCTATCTGCCTAGAGTTATGACAAGAATGCAACCGTTCGTCATAATGTGAGCTATGAACTTT